ATAGCTCAAAAACTATAAAACAAGTTTGGAGCTACAGGTAAGAACAGTCATAGGCACATAGATGGTGGTTAGCAGCTTGAGAACATAAACATGAAAATAGGTAAGAACATGTAGCTTAGTCATGTATTTAATAAATACTGAGTACCTACTATTTGGAGATACTATGCTAGAGACCAGGTGGGTACTAAAATGACTAGTCTTGACTTTTTATAATGTAGTGTTGAAATCATACATATCACCAGTCAACTATTATAGTATAATCTGCCCAAATGAGAGAAATTAAAGGGCTCTCTCGGAATTCCCTGGCGGTCCAGTGGTTAGGACTCCATGCTTCCCTGTTGGGGGCCTGGATTCAATCCCTGGTTGGGGAAATAAGATCCCTCAAACTGCATTGTGTGGCTAAAATTATATTTTAACAATAAAAAATAAAGGGCTCTATGACAGTAACGGGGAATTTTGAAGAACTCAGAGAAAGCGCTCAGAGGAAGTAATATCTAAGCTGAGGCCTGAAGAACAGATGGGTGTTAGCAGAAAAGAATGAGAGCAACTGTACCAAGCGGGGTGACGCAGGTGCAGACGCCCAGAAAGGAAAGGGAGCACTCAGAGTGGGGAGGTACAGCCCCTTCAGACCCTCTGATTTCGTGTTCTGATTTTCTGTTTTCCCTAAATTAAGTCCCCCTCACCCATCCAATCACCAAGCTGTGTATCCCACAGAAATCTGGGTTTGCCATGATAGAGGGTATCAGTCATTCTTTGGGGTAGCCAATCACATAAATTGGTAGTTAACACAAGGAGTCAAGAAGGGACTTGCTCATTCTCTCCGGATGAAGCAGCGCTTGTTCCAAGATCAGATTTCTGAAGCCGTAGAGACAGTGGTACAGAGTTCAGTGTTCGGGTGCTTTGCCAACAGTGGCTGCAGGCAGCCCAGTTGTGCAGTACAGTTTTGTGATTGGTTCTTAGCTGTGTGGCTCAGTTTGACCCTGATTCTCCAGTCTTTCTATTGTGACCTGCACAATATTCTTCTAATAAAGTTTATTTTATACTGAAAACCACAATCCATCTCTGTTGCTAAAGACCAGGAACCTAAACTGACAGTTTGATGTTCAGAAGTGTGATGCTACAGAACAGATTCTGGTATGTATAACAAGGCAGATGAAAGAGGCAGGATGGGGGACACGGAAGACACAACACACAAGGGGAAAGGGTGACCCTGAGATAGGACATCAAGCTTACACCATCAAGAAATGTATCTAAAGCTGAGAAGGCTTGGAAAGAGATTTCTCCCCAGTGCTGTGGAGGAGAAGAAACCCAGGAGCCACAGCTGATCTGAAAAAGAGGACTGCACCACCTCAAGAGATCCCCGTCATGAAACTGGGTCAAGTAACCAGATGAGACTTCGGCTGATCTCACAGCTGCAGGAAACATGAGAGAAAGTATGTTTCCTGTAGGTGTGAGCATTTTTGGAAGTACATGTATGGGCTCTGTCATTCCTCCCTTATTCCTTGCTGTGGAGCCCACTTTTGCTTGACCGCCTATCTCCCCAACACATTGACTAAATCATCCATGGTAATCCTGCATCCTTGGCCAGCCATGGTCAGCCTTAGGAAGGAGTATATGAGCAATCTAGTTCTGAAAAAATGGCTGCTCAGGGTGCTCTGGGAAGGTTTCCTTACTGATAAACAGAAACACAGATGAACTACTGTAGATATCTTGCATCCATGGCAGGAGCCATTCTGAAAGCAAAACCAAAATACTGAGGATGGTAAAGCAGAAAGAGGGAAGGAAAGCTGGTTGCTCAGGATAACTACTGTGCTCCTGAATTAGCCAACTTGGAAACCTCCTAACTAGTTTTGTATTGTTTAATAATTTTGAATAGGGTTTTTTGTTCCTTGCAATTGAAAGCATCCCAACCTACCTGACGGTATGATTTGGAGAGTAAAATTTGAAGATACTGCTAGTGGGATCCAGAAGAGCTAAGACCAAGGGGGTAAAAAAAAAAAAAAGGTGAGACCATGCAGGCCCTCAACTCCACCTGAGGACTATAAGGAACCACTGAATGGCTAAGTATAATTAAATATCTATTTCTATCTATCTATTAATACGTTCACCTGTTGCACTGGAGAAGAATGCATTGAAGGGGGACAAGGTGAAGACACAGAGAAGGAGAACAGTGATCTTTAGATAAAACTGGGGAGAACTCCGGCCTTTGAGTTTCTGGAGCAGCCCAAGAGCAGCACTAAGAAATGATTATAAAGGTAAGAAGAGAAAAAAAAAAAAAAAAGGTAAGAAGAGGACAGGAAAGAGTCAGGCACAAAAGTAAAGGCAATAGAGACTTGAAGAAACAATGAATTTTAAAAGATTATCAAATACTGGAAAGGTCAAAAAAGAGAATTTGGCAATATGGAAATTGATGGCTATTTAGTGACCTCTGCAACAGTAATTTCAGGGTAATAGGGCAAATGAACTACTACAGAGGGTTAAGAATGAATGGACTAAATGTCCATCAACATATGAAGGGATAAAGAAGATGGGGTACATATATACAATGGAATATTAGCCAACAAAAAGAATGAAATAATGCCATTTGCAACAACATGGATGGACTGAAAGATTGCCATAGTAACCAAAGTCAGTCAGAAAGAGAAAGACAAGTACCTTATCATATCGCTTGTATGTCAAATCTAAAATATGGTAGAAATCAACATCTACAGAACAAAATCAGACTCACAGATAGAAGACAGACTAGTGGTTACCAAGGGGGAGGGGAGTAGGGGAGGAAAGGAGTGGCAGTCTGGGATTAACAGAGGCAAGCTACCCATTATAGGATGGATAAACGACCAGCTCGCAACGTACAGCATAGGGAAGTATTTTCAATATTCTGTGACACAGCACAATGGAAAAGAATAGAAGAAAGCATACACACACACACACACACACACACATATACACTTTGATCACCCATCTCCCCAATACACACATATATATACTAGGTTTGATGAAGAATGGAGAGTTGTAGAAAAACAGTGGAACAGAAGGGTATAAACTAAGGGTAGTAAATAAGAAAACGAGTGAGGCCTGCTCCTTCACATTTTTCTCTGCTTCCATTTTCAGAGATAAGAATGCTCCTTTCAAAACCATATTTCAGAAAAATATTAAGTGACATGAAGAAATGAATACATGGAAGTTACTACTAGGTATAGAGGTACTGGATTAAGATTTTCATTTTCTTACGTTTTTCTGTTTCTATGTTTTCTGAGTTTAACAATTAGCTGATCTAATTTCTAACTAGAAAACTTGTTTTTTTAAATGTGTTTAATATTATTGCTGGGAATATTTTATTTTCTAATTTTTGGGGCCTGGTAATCCATGGTGTCATGTCTGGAAACTGCCATTTGGCATTGTAGAAAGGAAAACTGAGAAGATAACATTCTGCAAGTCTTATCTGACTAATGGAAGCTATTATATAAACATTTAGTAGCATTGTAATACTAGTAAAATTTTCTATTAAGAAACACTTGCTTGAAAACAAAAAACACAGAATTTTTACATGATTTATTTAATAATAAACCAATTAAAGATACAAAAATGTTTAGAGGATTCCAAAATTTAAATTTTTGTTTAAATACAAATTCACTCTGTAATATGAAAACATATAACATTAGACCTCTAAACATAATGATTTTTTCATCTACAAAAATTACTTTTTGCTATACTAAAAAATTGCAAGAAACAATTTTTCTTGTGAAGTTAAATGTACATTATTTACAGATGAAAAAGTAATCTAAAAAGTAATCTAGAAACATGGATATATAATGTATATTATCTTTGTATGTAATTCCCCCTCCCCCACTCCCAATAAAAAAAAGATCCAAAATATAAAGCAACTACAGTTTTACAGCAACTGACTACTCAGTCAGATTAGCCAAGGCTTGGTTGCTTTCTGGGCCCTTAAAGAGCCCTGACTCTTTCAGAAAAGCAGTATATCATTTAGCACTCAGCAACGTAAGTTTACTAGTGGATCACAGTGCACAGGGGCCTAAAGAGTTAATGAACAAACGATTTAGGAAGAAATCAGGTTCATAGCAGGTCTTACAGATAATACAAAAATGAATTTTGTAGGGCCATTAATTTTCTGTAATATTTTAGTTATATTTACATTAGGAGATAAGCTGATAATGTTTTAATTGATACTAACTTTGATAAATTGATAAATCTGATAAATTGATAAAAGATAGGAGTTAGAATCATAAAATTTAGAACTAGATGGGAAATTGGAGAACTAGATAGGAATTAGATAGGAGTTGGAGTCTAATCCAATACACCATTCCTCTTAGGAGGCCCAGAAGATCAAGTGGCTTGCCCAAGGTTACAGAGCTAGTCAGCAGGAGAACCACTCTTAGGCTGATGCTTTTCTATTATCCTGCTTCTGAAATAGGTTTAGCCCTATCATGGGGACATTTCAATTTTTGAAGTTATATTTTACATAGGCATAGCTCAACATACAGTGCAACAAACTAAAGTCAATCTAAGTGAAATCATAATTTTAACAAAGCATAAAACAGGTGTCTTGGATTTCAAAGAGTCAAGACTTAACCTTTGATACAGTGGAATGAAAACAGCTCCTATATAAATTTCCTGATGTCTTACATTTAAGTATTGTGTTTACAAAAGAATCAGAAAAGCTAATGCAATATAAAATTTAAAATGGTGCTTGTAAAATGCTTATGATATAACCACTGAAAAAAATCTCAAAAGAATGTCTTCATAGTATAAAACGCCTGTTCCTTCACAACTGAATTCTGAAACTTCTGGAGGACAAACAGAAGCATTTGGGTTTTCCCCCCTCATCTACCAAAGTCAAAATTAACTGTTACTAACTTTTAACAAGTAACTACAAAATGAGGAACGGTGTGGAGGATTTATCTTAGAATCAATAGTTTGCAGACAATCAAAAATGTTCAGTTAAACAACAACCATCTGTAATTCCTTTGGCGTATTCCTCAGAAGGAGCTGGGTTCCAGCAGTTCGTTTTTTATAGCTACCTGCGAAGGAAACCCATTGGAGACCACCATCACGTAAGGCTGTGGCTGCGGCTCGGGGTGCTCCGCGCCTTCTTTCACAGCCTCTCCAGCCTCCATTTTCACTTCTTCCTGTATGTGAGTCTTTGCCTCTTGAGCCTTGATAACTGAAGTGATTACAGTGCCAGGTGGGTGAGCAACCAGCTGTGAACTGTGCTGAGAAAAGGTCGCCATGGGCGTGGTGGCGCTGAAGGGCGGAGACGAAGCCGCGCTGACGGCTCCGTTGCAGACAGTCGGGACGCTGCTGGTGAGGACCTGCTGCACGTGGGCAGGACTCAAGACGATGGAGGGCGGGGAGCCCGGCTTCTGAGGCTGCAGCACCACGTTTTCTTTGAGGACTGTCATGGGCTGTGAGGACGGGATGGCTTGTAAGATGAACTTCTGAGATCCAGGAGCTGACGACGGATCTGCGCTGGCTATCACTGTTGTGATTGGCACTGTCTGGAGTGTTACCGTGTGCAAATGCTGATTCCCAGGAGATACCACCACTGGAACTTGGGCTGGAGTCTGTATGGTCCTATTGAGATTACGAAATAAAAGTGAGGAAAGAAGCATATTCTACATTGTTGAAAACACTTGACAAGTCACTTGAACAAAACATGAGTTAATTCATTTCAAATGCTCCTTCCCTTTATTTCCAACGCAACGAAAACACTGTGCCAAACCCAGCATTAAACACTGCACATACAGAAATGGCCAACAAAAAATTCTCAGTCCATTAACTATAATGCCATCTGTGAAAAAAATAGTCTGTATAAAGCACTATATTAACACAAATGGGGAATCAATTTTTTGTTGAAGGAGGGTATCAAAATGTTTCCCAAGGAAGTTACACATAAGCTGCCTGACAAAAAATTAAGAATATATAGATATGTATATATATACATATCTATCTAGCTATATATATTTTTTGTGCTGAACCATGCATCTTATGGGATCTTAGTAACCTGACCAGGGATCAGTTCCGGCCTTTGGCAAAATGCAGAGCCCTAACCACTGGACTGCCAGGTAATTTTCGAAAATTAGGAATTTTTAAACAAACATTGGATTCACTATCATTTTAATATTTGAGGAATAATGTCATCTGTAAGTCCAACCAAATTACGAAACTTCACATGATTGTAATTGTTTTCGACCTGTTTTGGCTCAGACGGTAAAGAGTCTGCCTGCAGTGTGGGAGATCCGGGTTCGATCCCTGGGTCGGGAAGATCCCCTGGAGAAGGAAATGGCAACCCACTGCAGTATTCTTGCCTGGAAAATTCCATGGACGAAGGAGCGTGGCTGGCTACAGTCCATGGGGTCGCAAAGAGTCAGACACGACTGAGCGACTTCACTTTTCTATTATATAGAGAAAGCACTCAATTAACTAAAATTAAACAATACTTCAACCTTAAACATATATGTGATAGAATTATTAGAAGAATTTTAATAATTCACGGCTCATATTACATAAAACAAGTCATGAATATAATTAACTCATGAGGGTTCTTTAGGATGGCAGAGAGAACAAAAGGTAAGGCCAAATCTTGGCAAAAATAAACAAAGGTTGTTTTAGAGATGTGTTTTCTCAGCTCAAGTAATTTGCAAAAATTTTAATCATAAAGATACAATTTTAACATAAAATCCAGTTTGTATAAATTGTTAATTCTATTTATTGAAGAAAAGAGGTACATAAATGGTATTATAAGCCAATCTAATTTTTAAAGTTCACAGCTATGAAATTTATACTCATGGCTATTGTCAATACAAAACAAATGTTGTTGAACAGACTCAGCATCTGGATCTCAACTGTGTTTCCTCTGCATTCTATAAAGCTATTTTACAAAAGAGACAGGATTGCTATTTCAAATGGCTAAGAGCCAGATTAGTCCCCATAAACAAAATGTTAATTATTGCCAGGAGACTATCACAGGTAAATTTTATCAAGTTACAGTTATGTGGCCTGTCTCATGTGAAAAATGAAATTCTAGAGCAGAAACCAAATGGGTAAGGTAGAAGATAACTGAGTACAACTCAGGAGACATTAAGAGGAAGCAGAAAGACACAGGCGAGCTGGAGCCCACACCCACGCATGCAGGATACTGTTTCTCAAGTTCCATTTGTCACCACAGTGACCACTGTGAGAACCAGTCCACGGCAGGATGTCAGCAGCCCTTCTGAAGGACACTGCTAGAAGAGAATATGAGTCAGGTAATGAAGATTTACTAGGTTGGCAGGGTATGGCTAGGAATAAAGGCCAGATATACTAATACTATTGGGCAGGCAGTGATGAGTTGGAAGGATATAGAATAACTTTGGGAACTAGGGCACTTTTCCAAAATACACTGTACCTCCCTTTTTCCCTGCCTGCTTAAAATCAGGATATCCTGGGTAGAATCTAAGCCTGTAAATGGTAGCTGACCCTACAGAATGATACCATTTTTTAAGTAAAAAAGATCCAAGAGCTTCCCATGCCAAGAGCTCATGTACACATACATACAGATAAAATAGAATTTGGCACATAGAAAGCATACAGAATGTATCTATAAATATGTATAGCCTGGCCACCCAATAAGAATTATTATCACAATTTTCCACATGAAAAAAGTTAATGCAGAAAGAAGCTGAACAGCTCACATAAGGTGAGCAGTTAGATAAGAAAAGGGACCAGTCAACTACAGAGCCTATGTGCTTAACCATTACAACACACTGTCACTTAAGTACTGAATAACTTCAAGTAAAGAGGGATACTTAGCATTAGATTTTTAAACAGTAGGGAGTTATACACCCACACACCCCTTTCTCTTTCCCTCTCTCAGGTATGATATCAGTTCAGTTCAGTAGTTCAGTCATGTCCAACTCTTTGTGAGCAATAATGTACTTGGAAAAGTTCCATGTTGTTAATCAGGGCTACCATGAGACATTCAATGCCTTTTACTGAAGTCAGAAAGAGATGGCCCTTTCCTGGGCATCTGACTGCCATCTGCCAGAAAATATATATACTGACCTAAAATACCTGCAGTGTAAATATACTGGCTATTTGAACAAACTATAAAACAATAAATTGTCACTAATAAAAAATTCAGAGATTAAAGGATTAAATATTATGCAGCCTTTTCCCAACCACAGGAATTAGCATAATTTTTTTCTTAGTTAATTATTAAACTGTCAGTTGTATCTGGTTATAATTATATTGCACAACAAAGGTTACATTACAGTTAACTACTTTTAAAAAGCCCAAGCTGCTTGTAACCAACTGGTACAATATTGGTTATTTAAAGTTCTTCAAACTTTCTGAAGCTAAGAAAGATATACAATATAATATTTGGCTTTTGCTGAATATCTACTCAGCTGTCAGGAAGTGTCATTTAATTGTTACAACCACCTGTCAGGTTAAATAATATCATCTTCATTTTATAGATGAGGAAACAGAATAGTTGGTTAATGTAATCCAATGTCATATCTAATAATTGACAAGGGTTGCAGGGCGAGAATTTTATGCCCAAATTCTTCCTACTCCATTAGATTGTTTTTAAAGTAACTTATACATTATATATTGATATTTTTAGAGGCTAATTTATTTAAAAGACCCTAAGACACATCACCGACTCGACGGACATGAGTTTGAGTAAACTCCGGGAGTTGGTGATGGACAGGGAGGCCTGGCGTGCTGTGATTCATGGGGTCACAAAGAGTCAGATACGACTGAGCAACTGAACTGAACTGAACTGAACTGAAGACAAACTTAGTGCTTGGAAAAACACTGTAGAGAAACAAGTTATACTGGGTAGGTATATGGACTTCCAAGTTTACCAAGGGACAATTTTAGGAAAATACTTTACTAGAGGTTTATTTTTGTGAAGCCAAAGTTAAGATTTGTAAACCTGAACACATATACCATAAATCAATTAAGAAAAGTTTAATCAATTTCAACACAGACACAGTTGGCCTTCCATACTCATGGCTCCACATCCACAGATTCCACCAACCTCCCCCAGAAATATCCAGGTGAGTCTGGATATCCCCAGGTGAAAATATCCAGCCTCACCTCCCCCAAAATTCCAGAAAGTTCCAAATCACACAGCTTGAATGATCTGCCACATGCTGGCAACTACTTACATAGCATTTATACTGTATTAGGTATTATAAGTAATCCAGAGATGATTTGAAGTATACGGGAGGATATGTGGAGGTTATACACTAATATTAGCCATTTTACATAAGGGGCACCCTCAGATTTTGGAGTCTGAAAGGAGTTCTGGAAATAATCCCCTGAGGACACTGAGGGATCATTCTATGTGCAATTGTGTGAGATAAAAAGAAACGAGCAAAGGAAAAACAGAGAAGAAATATGTTCCCAATTCTCGGTAAACAAGTGATAATTCTTGCGATCATGTGAATTAACCGAGAGTATGTCAGATCACTAAGTTCACTGCTTTAGACTACACTGCTTGCATTAAAACACTATCTCCACCACTATCTCCACCTGTGACCAGGCTCCTTGGCCTCTCTTTGCCTCAGTTTCCTCAACTGTAAAATAGGAATACTGAATATTACCTATACCTCATTGTGCAATAGGATTCTATACTTTAATATATGTAAAGTATATGCAATATAGAGTACTTTGAAAGTTATCAGTTCCTGTTACACTAATTTAATAATTAATCTAAATTTAAGTCATAAGTATTCTACCTTCTCTCAACTACAGAAAAAATATTTCAAAGGTCTTTGGTTTTTTAAAAACTAGTCAAGAAAGATATAGTCAAATTTCTATAACTTTTCTGAGGAGTGATAATATGGTTACTTGGGATGTCTGTATTCTTAAAGAGTTATACATTGAAATATTTAGGGGTAAAATGTCATGGTGATTTCAACTGACTTGACAAATACCCAAACAAACAGAAAAAGGGTATAAATAAATATTGAGAGAAAGCAAATAAGGTAAAAAAAAAAAACAAGTATCAATTGTAAATCCAGCTGGATGGCAAACAGGTGTTCAATGTACTATTTCGACCCTTCCATATTTTGAAATTTCTACAGTTAAAAGTTGGCATAACTACAGTGAAAATAAGTAGGACTTGTGGGAGGAAAATAAAATACAACCAAATGAGAGAGGAATTGTTTTAAAATCAAACAAATGATTAAGAATGTATGTGGATATAACTGATTCACTTTGCTGTACAACAGAAACTAATGCAACACTGTAAAGCAACTATACCCCAATTTAAAAAATGGACGTAGGTACACAGATGGTCATATAAATACACAATAACTTCTACAGGAAGAGACTGTGTTTTGGAAATTCTCTGGTGGACCAGTGGTTAGTTCTTGACACTTCCACTGCCATGGGCCTAGTTCAATCCCTGGTCAGGGAACTAAGATCCCTCTTGTGAGCCGCAAGACATGATCAAAAAAAAAAAAGAAAAATTGTGTTTTAAAGTTTGAAGAGTTAATTAAATTTTATATTTGTTCATTTTATAAGTAGTCCACTTAGAGAACTCCTTATTCTAAAAGGAGATAAAGAATAATCATATATACTACTTCCACACAAATTCTATGAATATGGGGTGTTCTGTGTCAGACTATGTTAGGTTCTGGAAAAAGGATAGTGGCTAGAAGGTAACTTCTACAGATTTAAATGGATAGCAGGAGACAGGCATTAAAGTTACCTGAAAACCTGGATTATGTACTGGAGCATGGTATAGGCAAGCAGTCAGCTTCAGCTGGAAGGAATTCTGAGCAGAGCCAGAGCTGGCAGTGGAAGCTACGCAAACTGGACAACACTCTGTATGCAAAATAGACCTAACAGAAGCTGCAAGAAGTCAACACCACAAGTGCTAACTCCTGACCAATTAAACAAAGGATGGCTCTGGCCAGAAACATCACACAATGAGAGGCATCGGTAACACAGAGGGTGGAAAAAAAAAAAACAGGAGAAAGAGGAATCAGGCAGAGAGTCCACAGAACTCTTTTTTACCTTCTGAGCCACAAGGGAAGCCCACAGAACTCTCAGAGAATGTAAAAATGAAGATTCTGAAAGGTATACCAAAGACAGCTTGAAAATCACAGGAAGGAAGTTTTTTAATTACAACCCTTTAATACCTGGCACTGAGTCTTATTCAGAAACTGACATTCAAGTAATAAAGTATCCAATATAATACCATAATTTATTATCTTTCAGAGCTCGAGCTGTGTGTTTTTGTTATTGTTGTTCTTCTTCTGGTTTGTTTTTTATTCTCAAGGTCTAAAAAGGAACCTTTGATCAAAGATGCTAAAAAAAAAAAAACTGAATTCATCCAAGAAGGGAGTCCCAGTGATCCGCTGTGGCCACTGCATGTTTCTCATCAACACAAATAAACACAATGGAGACAAAGAGCCTAGAAACCAATGGGAGGAACCACATAATTCCAATTAGATATTCAGTCATCGTAAGTAACCAACAGAACTTAAGAGGAAAATAAAGTATTAAAAGGAAAACATAGTTAAGTAAGCACTTGTTTAATTAAGATAGGAAAAATGTGACCTACGCTCCTCACACGTCAATAATTTAAGATAATTCAATTCTCTTAAACTCATCAAAAGTTTAATGGAGCGTACAACGAAGACTGAATGGTCTAATAGGTCTGTTTTGATTCTAGGTAATTCATGGGCAACAGATGGGGAAACAGTGGAAACACTGTCAGATTTATTTTGGGGGGCTCCAAAATCACTACAGATGGTGATTGCAGCCATGAAATCAAGACGCTTACTCCTTGGAAGGAAAGTTTTGACCAACCTACATGGCATATTAAAAAGCAGAGACAAAGGAAAAAAAAAAAAAGCAGAGACATTACTTTGCCAACAAAGGTCCATCTAGTCAAGGCTATGGTTTTTCCAGTGGTCATGTATGGATATGAGAGTTGGACTGTGAAGAAAGCTGAGCACCAAAATATTGATGCTTATGAACTGTGGTGTTGGAGGAGACTCTTGAGAGTCCCTTGGACTGCAAGGAGATCCAACCAGTCCATCCTGAAGGAGATCAGTCCTGGGTGTTCATTGGAAGGACTGATGCTGAAGCTGAAACTGCAATACTTTGGCCACCTGATGCGAAGAGCTGACTCACTGGAAAAGACCCTGATGCTGGAAGGCATTGGGGCAGGGGGAGAAGGGGACGACAGAGGATGAGATGGCTGGATGGCATCACCGACTCGATGGACATGAGTTTGAGTAAACTCCAGGAGTTGGTGATGGACAGGGAGGCCTGGCATGCTGCGGTTCATGGGGTCACAAAGACTAAAACACGACTGAGCAACTGAACTGAATGCTTACTTCAAGATCAATTGAATAAAAATCCAGCATTTATGCTAGAGAATATACAACTGTAACACAGGAGTCAGCTAATGAAAATAATCAAAAGAATCATATTTATTGGATTTGGAAGGGCTCTTGTAATTCATGTTCTGGAAATTCACAGCAGTAGAAACTAAAAAAAAGAACTCTGAAAATGTCCACTTAATTTTCTGCCTTCCTCTTTTATCCCCATTCTAAATCAGTCAAAACCAGCCACAAGTTTGTGCAAAAAAGACAGTCTAAGTTGTTGTTAGACTTTGTTAAGATATGTCATCTCTGGGGGAATGAGGCAGATTTTATTTGATTAAACCAAAAAACTATTCCTCCAACTATGCCACTCTACAAACCTGAAAAAGAGGACCTTTGATTCCTGGCCTCCCTACCTGTTTGACTATTCTGGATACTATCTGAGAAGACTGTTATCTTCCCAAGGAATAATGCATATTTCTTAGAACTCAATGCATCCCAAAGTGTCATTATACGTAAATGTATGTTATATTTTTACAGCTTGTAACTTTGTCCCCAAAAAGATCTGAAACCATTCCCTGGATTTTCTTGTATGTGGATCTCTTCTTATATGGATCAATCAGTTATACAAAACTATATAGGACTGATTCAAATTGGTAGAATCACATCAAGTGCTGTCAAAGTTTAAAAATAACAAATCACTGATAAAATCAGAGGACTGATGCCTTGCTGCTGAAACAATCTGTTGACCAAAAGTTCTAGCTTGAAATCTATATCATTTTTATTTTCACTTCTGAATCCCGACACATTTAACCAAAAATGACTCTTGTCAGAACATGACACAGTGATCTGCACCGGTCCCTTTAGCTTTCTCACCTAATACTCGGAACGGAAGGATTTAACGTCTCCTCTGACACGCTGCTGGCTGCTTCTGCTTCCGGAACAGCTTGTACCGGCTGCACCACGTGAATAGTCCGGAAGAGCTGGGTAGGGTACGGAGTCTGTGTGGACTGTACTGTCCTCAGAGCCTCGGACGGCTGCGCAGCTTCCATGGCATCTTTGGGTTTTGCAGCTTTCGAATTCCCTGGTTTGAGAACTGTAGTGGTTCCTCCTTTCATTCCTGGACTTGAAGATGCTCTCGATCGACTTGCTGGGTTCCTACTCGAAGTGGTTGTTGACGGCAGTGACGGATCTGAAGACTCTATGCTGCAACTTGGATCCTCGTCATCTATATAAATAAGGTCTTTCGGCATATCCTTAAACTGATACACCAAGCGCTGACCTTCTACTTTTGCCAGAATACCCCTTTGGTAATAGTACCTATTCGAAACAGACAATTTTATCAATACTGTAGTCGGTTAAACATAAACTAAAATAATATTCAACACAGCAAAATTTCTGTAATCATAAACAAGAGTTTAAAGTTGGAAACAAACAAGTGAGAAAAGAATTTCTAAATGAAGGGTAGTTATTTTCTCTTCCATAGCTTACTATAATGTCCCTACCTGTTTTAATGTTGATTCAGTAAATCTGAAACAATTTTCTGTGTAAAACTTAATGATGTACAAATAGATGTGATTCAAGTTTTGTCACTGATTCTAATTAGATCAAAAACCTAAAAAGTGTGAGCTAAAAAATAAAATGCAAACTATAACTAAATAGTTCTGGTTTAAAAAAGTTATCAAGTTATCAGATCTGGTTGTTTCCAATAAGTTTTTCTCAAATATATCCAGATCTTGATGACTAAATGACATTATCAAAGAAAAACAAACTAAAAGTAAGTTTAAGAGGTATCTCTGTTCAACATTTTCATGATGGTTAATATTATTCTTGAAGCATTAATTTATTCCAACATAATGTATCATAGCTGAGGTTCATGCTTAAAAATGCACCCTCTTATTAAGTACCTGCATACCAACATTTGTTATTTTGTGCTGAATTTAAGTTTAATGGCTCAAAACATATGAGCCTTGTGGTCAATGTACAATGCCTGATGATAGTTTAACATTTTCTGACCTCTTCATAAATAAAATATCCATTATTTGCATGAAGATTTTGGGGGGAAGGAGAACATTTTCCCAGACTGAAATAATATTTCAATTTAAATACTCACTTCTATAAGTAGTATGGTTTTAGCACTTCAATAGTAAAATTCACCATTTCTAAAGAAAACCCTCTGACTTTTTAGAACTTTCCTGCTTTCTAGTATTTAAGAAACAATATTCTTCACACCATGAACTACAGAAATTTCACGTACCTGAGAGCTCTTCCCATGGTCTCATAATTCATGTCAGGTTTGTTTTTGTGCTTCCCCCACAACCTGGATACTGCTTTAGAATCTACCAATTTAAAAATGCCTTTTTCTCGCTGAGTCCATTTGATGTATTTAGGACAAGTAGCTTTGTCCTGGAGCAGTGCCAGTAAAAACTCCCAAAGATAAATTGTGTTTCCTGAAACAAAAGCAATTTCTTGTTAACTGAACCAAAACTTTATTTGGAAGAGCACAATAAACACAACTAAAGGTCTTAATATGTTCCATCTATAATTATATAAAACAAGTTACACAGTTCAGTTAGTACTGGTGATACAATGGTCATAATTTCTAGAGCCTAATATAGATCTTTTTATTAATCCCACGTAAGTTATCTGAATAGAGCAATCCTGCCAATTAGATTTGTGATGACCTAGGGAGAAAGCATTGTAAGAAATTTTCTTTCAGCCTCTTTAAGAACCATTATTACATAGAAGAAAAGGAAAAAGAAATGTAAAAAACCTTTCAATAGTTGTTCTTTTTATATTAAGAGCCAGCAGATTAGCCTTAACAATTTTCTTCAAATTTGGGAAGCAGTTATGAAAATATTAAAACTCCAAGACACCGTAATAAAGTGTCTATGCACTGAAAACCTAATGTGGCTGAATTCTTCCAAGAGACTCATTATTAAATGAAAGGATGGACGATTTTGACAGGGAAGTGAAAATCTCCTAATGGATTTCTTGGGCTACATTATTACCAGTATTTCTACAGAAAGTGTTAACTGTGCATGGGGCAGCAATAAGATCCATTTCAATAAAATCTGGTGGTTTCTACTTACAGTATGCAGATATTTTAGAGCACTCTGAATGTTACTTGATCTATAAATATTATAAGGAAACTACAGGAGTAGTACTTACCCTTCCCATCTTTGTTTTTCTTCTTCACAGATATGTTTGGTGTAGTGGCTGGGGAATCTGGACGTGATGGTTTAGTTTTTCTCCCTGAAATCACAATGGCTCTACATAAATATTTGCCCTCAAAAGTGAGAGAAAATGGATAATTTAGCTGTTTATAAAAGCTTTTTTGGTCATTTATCCTCAATTTCAAGTGCCAAATATTTTACACATGGAACACATGTTGGTTTCCTAAATACTACCTATCAAAAGGAAAATAACTTCAGTAAAAAATTAACATAGGTTAGATCACAGACACTTTTATGTAGAAAACAATACTTTGGCTCATTTGTAAAAATGAGATTAAATTGAAACTTTAATTTTATCTTTAAGGTGATAATTCTTAACATTTAAATGAACGTTACTGATACTGATAAAACTTGGGCTTCAAAATTAAGCCATATAAGTCTGTCTGCCTCTTGGTTGATTCTCAAATATTGGAAACTACCCAAAACTTCTAGATATAAAAAATAAGGTTAAACTGAGGTTAAATTTTTGTGAACCACATACTCAATTTTTATTTTCTTGTGTATTTTTAAACATCTTATTCTATATTTCTTTCAATTTACAGCAAACTTACTTTATGGTTATCCATCACTCAGCCCCAGATAAGTCAGAGTTAAAAGTGTATTTTGTTCAGCCTTAGTCTGGGTCAACCAACTATTCTAAAGCCATGTTTATGATCTCTTCTCCCCTCATCTAGAGCCATAACCTGGCAGCAATGCTGCCTATGACTTAGGTTGGGGCAATGATGCTGTCTGAACAGACTACCACCCTCCATGAGAGAGACAATGGAGATTAAGCGTAAATGGATACTTCAGTCAGTATTTCTAACCACAATGTTCTTGAATTTGACTCTCTCTGATCTAGATCACAAGGGCAAATGCTGAGGTAATTGAGGGAAGTAACTTAAAAAAGAAGAATTCAAGGGCTAAAGTCACAAGGTTAGTAGCAACACAAGACAAGTTCAGTTGTTCAGTCCTGTCCGACTCTTTGCGATCCCATGGACTGCAGCATGCAAGGCCTCTCTGTCCATCACCAACTCCTGGAGCTTGCTCAAACTCATGTCCATCGAGTCAGTGATGCCATCCAACCATCTCATCCTCTGTCATCCCGTTCTCCTCCTGCCTTCAATCTTTACCAGGATCAGGGTCTTTTCCAATGAGTCAGTTCTTCACACCAGGTGGCCAAAGTATTGGAGTTTCAGCTTCAGCATCAGTCCTTCCAATGAATATTCAGGACTGATTTTCTTTAGGATGGACCGATTGGATCTCCTTGCAGTCCAAGAGACTCTCAAGAGTCTTCTCCAACACCATAGTTCAAATGCATCAATTCTTTGGCACTCAGCTTTCTTTATGGTTCAACTATCACATCCATATATGACTACTGGAAAAACCATAGTCTTTGACTAGACAGACTTTTGTCAGCAAAGGAATGTCTCTGCTTTTTAATATGCTGTCTAGGTTGGTCATAACTTTTCTTCCAAGGAGCAAGCATCTTTTAATTTCATGGCTGCAGTCACAATCTGCAGTGATTTTGGAGCCCCAAAAATAAAGTCTCTCACTGTTTCCACTGTTTCCCCATCTATTTGCTATGAAGTGATGGGACTGGATGTCATGATTTTAGTTTTTTGAATGTTGAGTTTTAAGCCAACTTTTTCACTCTCCGCTTTCACTTTCATCAAGAGGCTCCTTAGTTCCTCTCCACTTTGTGCCATAAGGGTGGTGTCATCTGCATATCTGAGGTTATTGATATTTCTCCTGGCAATCTTGTTTCCAGTTTATGCTTCATCCAGCCCAGCATTTCACATGATGTACTCTGCATATAAGTTAAATAAGCAGGGTGACAATATACAGCCTTGATGTACTCCTTTCCCAATCTGGAATCAGTCTGTTAATAGCAACACATCCCAAGACAAACTGAATAGGAAAACACTTCTGAAGTTAAGGTGAGTAAGAGTCAAGGAAAGTGAAAAGTGAAAGTGAAAGTTACTCAGTCGTGTCAGACTCTTTGTGATCCCATGGAATTCTTCAGGCCAGAATACTGGAGTGGGTAACCTTTCCCTTCTCCAGGGGATCTTCCCAATCCAGAGATCAAACCCAGGTCTCCCACACTGCAGGCGGATTCTTTACCAGCTGAGCTACAAAGGAAGCCTATCTTTTCTCCAGGAGATCTTCCCAACCCAGGAATCAAACTGGGGTCTCCTGCATTGCAGGCGAATTCTTTACCAACTGAGCTATGAGGAGAAGAAAGTCAAAAGAGTCATTCTTCAGGCCTGGCCCCTCCTGAGACTACCAGATGTACACACATGGAAAACAGGCAGCTTGGTGCCTCAACCTCCATCACTGCAGACATCTGCAGACATCTGCAGAGAACCTACAGAGATTTCTAGCTAACTGTGTTTATGACTGTGAGAATTAGAAGCCAGACTTCAGTCAGCTGCTATCCCTCTGACTGTTTTATTTTCTCTCATTTTTCTCTTTTTTAAAAAATTTCTTTATTTGGCTGTGCTGGATCAGTCGCAGCATGCGGGATCTTTGATCTTCACTGCAAATGCAGGAACTTTAGTTGCCGCATGTGGGATCTAGATTCCTGACCAGGGACAGAGTCTGGGTCCCCTGCATCGGGAGCTCAGAGTCTTAGCCACTGGACCAGCAGGGAAGTCCCGATAGTACTGTTTTTATCCTACTGTTTTACTCCACTACTGTCAGTCACGGCAGATACTGTCAGTAGCATACCCAGCATCCATCCTCTCCATCATCTTCCTCACTGTTCATGGTGACGATGCACACAGCGTCACATGAACTATAGGTTAATTGGGTATATAAATTTTGTGAAGTTATTTCTCCTGATATGTTGAACATATCCAGCCCTTTCAGCCTTTCGTGGGAGCTTGCAGCCAATTCAATAATCAATCCTCATCAGGTAATGCAGTTTCTCCCTGACTAGTCCATTTCTTCTTTTTTTTTTCCTCTTGTTTTGGCTGTGGGTTGCAAGGAGTCTTTGATGTTCCACATTTTTTAGCATAATCTATTTCAGCCTGCATCTGTTTTACTTATGCTACTCAGGAGTCACTATGCTGGGATTAACATCATTCTGGAAAATTTCTCAGTCATCTTTGAATATTGCTTCTTCCTCACTCTACACATTCTTCCTTTCTGGAGCTCTGATTAAACGTGTAGATCTTCTCAAGCAATCCTCACATCTCTAACTCTTCTATTATCTTTTACTCTACATCAGCTCTAGATTGGAGCTCACTGATTCTCTCTTCAGCAGTGACTCATTTGCTATTTAACCCATATATTATGTGTCCTATCTGGTTCCTTATCATGTCAGTCTTTCACCATTAAGTAGGATATTAGTCTTTTACTTTCTAAAAACAGCTTTATTGAGGTATAACTGACATACAGTAAACCTGCTTATGCTTAAAGTTTATAATCTGATAAGTTTTGACATATGTATACACCTGTGAAACCATCACTCAAGATAATGAACATATCTTCACTCCCTGAAGTGCGTTTGTAATCCTCACTTTCCCCACCCTGCCCAATCCACAGGTAACCAACCACTCATTTTCTATCATTATAGATTAATTTACACTTTGTATAATTTCATATAAACAGAACCATACTCTTCTTTTATGGCAGGGGGGTGGGAATCTGGCTCTTTTCCCCTAGTATAATTATTTTGAGGTTCATCCATTTTTGTCTTATGTACCATTTTCTTGCTGAATGGTCTTTCATCGTATGGATATTACCACATGTTTAATCCAATCAGCAGCTGACGGACTGGGTCATTTCCAGTTTGGGGCTGTTGCAGATAAAGCTGCTAAGAACATTCATTCATGAATAAGTTTTTCTCTTAAATGTACAGTTTCACTTCTTCTGGGTAAATACCGAGAAGCAGAATGGCTGGGTCATGTGTTAAGTATACATGAAGTTTCTTAAGGAACTGTCATACTGTTTGCCAAAAACTATCTTCTCCACGCAGGAAGGTGGGGTAATCACACCTCAGTGGTTTCCTATTTTCCAGGGATCGCTGGCATTTGTTGACTGATGTTCACTTTCTTTAGAACCACTGCTTCAGATATTTTGTTTGTGGTGGCAGTTGTTTCAAACAGGAGGGTAAATCTGGGTTCTGTTTTTATTTTTTCCAGTTTTATTGCTATATAACTGACATATTGTATAAGTTTAAGGTATACAACACAATGTGAGATACGGCATACTCTCCACCCCACCCCCCTCCATGATGAGACCCAACAAATGATTCAGAGGTGAGATAGATTTCCAGTGTATTTCAAGATGCCAGCCTCAAAAAGTAGCTCGAGAATGCACCCCAGCTCTCAGCCTCCCTAGGAAAGAGTTTCAAAGCACCAGAGAAGTGGAAAAATAGGGTGAAGAGAGAGTTTCCTCACATCATTTAAAAGCAGTTCAATGTCCCAATCCCCCTCCTACCAAATAAATGACTCTTGATTTTTTTCTAGCTATCTTATGGTGTGAAGAGCTATCTTAACTGTGGTTTTGATTTATACTGCCCTGATGACTAGTGATATTTAGCATCTTTGCTTGTACATGTTGGCTGTTTATATGTCTTCTTCAGAAAAATGTCTATTCAGGTTCTCTGCCCATTCTTTAATTGGATTTTTTTTCCTATTGTGTTATATGAGTTGCTTATATATTTTGGATATTAACCCCTTATCCAATCCATGATTTACAAATATTTTCTCCCATTCTGCAGGTTGCATTTTCATTTTGCTGACAGTTTCTTTTGCTGTGCAGAGACTCTGAGTTTATTGTAGCTCCACTTATTAATCTTAGCCTTTGTAAAGCTTGTGCTTTTGGTGTCATATCCAAAAAACGGTTGCTACATCAGGTGCTATTACTCCATCTTGACTAGAGGAGGAAGTTTCACCTGCTATTTTTTAATAGTCTCATTCTTTGACCATATTTTCTATTCTTTTGCATTAATAATTATAATCATATTCATTGGAAGTTTCTATTTGATAATTCTATTATCTGAGGTTCATAGTGAACTAACCTTAGGATTTATTTTTTTTGAATTCTGGTTTGTTGTTGGACAACAGTGTTTCACACACACATCAAGCAGGCCAAAATAATAGTAATAGTAATAAACCACAACTTCATAGTCAAGGAAAAAAAAGAAAACTTTTATCACTGGCCTTTTTAACCATAAAAGTTAACCTGGTTAACTTTAACATAACCTGGTCATAAAAACCAGGTACTTAAGGTACAGCTATGTACGTGCACAAAAAGGGTTACTGGCATGCTCGAAATAAGATTGATTTTTTTTTTGTAGTTTTTTCTTTTTAACAACATTTTCTTTCTCCTTTGAGATTATAATGAACATGGTCACACCACAAGGAAAGTCAGAAGTAGGAGAGAGAATGCTGGGAAGACTGGTTTGCTCATCCGAGATCACTAAAAATGGCTGATCCCTACAATATGTACAAAAATATAAAATGTAAATATAAAACACAAATTTTCCTTTTAAAAGTACTTTAAGAAAACAACCCTGGGCCTTGGAAGTTTTGGTTCCTTTTTCCTCTCCAGTTGCAAGTTCATGTTGTGTGGCTCTGGCTCGACAGTGGGGAGCACGTGGCACCTGCAGGCGGCGGGCAGGCCGGACTCCACCTGACCGTTAGGTTCCGAGACGCCAAGAGGAGGCTGGATGGGCTACAGCAGCCTTTTCTGTAAGCTTAACTTCTTTTTCGCTGTCTAGTCATCCTCATCCATCTTCCGCGTTTTTGCGTCAGTGTCAGCATCCCCGTCATCTTCAGCTGCTGCTTTGCCCACAGGTGCCTCAGACTCCTCATCTTCATCGCCACCCTCTTCCTCACCATCACCTTCCTCCTCCTCTCCCTCCCCAACTTCTTCCTCTTCTTCACCCACCGCACTGTCAGCCTCCTGTTCCCCATCTTCCTCATTCTCAGCATTCCCATTAGCAGGTCCTCGCTCCCATTCCCCGTCTCCCCCACAGCTTCTTGAAGTCCTTGGCAGTGATCCTGGAGCTGGTGTCCATGGCTGCACTGGCACGATGGGGCCAGTGAAATCATGCAGCAAACTGGAAAGAAAGCAGGAGGGCGAGAACTCTGGCGATGAAGCTGCCGGAGTCCACAGTGGAGGCACAGCTGGAGGTGGCTGAGCGCGTGAGGAGCCAGACACAGTGACAACACAAAGACAGCTCCTGAGAGCAGCCAGTGGGGGAAACCAGAATTCCCTATGTCTGCTGCTCCTCATTCAAGAGGTATCTTTCTTATGTGGACATACTTGGCTGGACATTCCTGAAGTCAGTGATAATTTAAAATCTAGTCATAAACCTAGGTTAAGGTAAACCTAGGATTATGAATTCTCCAAAGAACAATTTTTCCACTCAGCTACAAAATACAAATTTCCTTAACATCTGTCTGTGCCAATGGGTGGATTGTTTTTCCCCTTAGGGTACAGCCTTCCAAGGACCCCATGAATTATATGCTGAGTTCTCTAATATCCATTTTGCTTTGGACCAAGACTTTAGCATGTGCCTCTACTTGGAATATAAAACCAAGTCCCCTGGACTTCCAGACTGACATATTCTTCTCAGCCCTTCAGAGCTGTTGCAGTGTCAGCTCATTCTTACTGTTGTTATTTTCCCCTTCACCTTTGGCTCTTGAAACTTTTCTTAATTTCAAGTGAAATTAGGTTACACACTGGCTGGTGATGCCATAAACCAAGATATTAAACTCAACATATTAAACAAGCTGGAGCAGAATCAAAAGGCAAAGAAAGGGAAACGTGTCAGTGTTAGGATGTTAAGTATGGTTCTAATTTGTGAATACTTTAAAATTCCCTCTGGCACGTTGTATCCTCTTCAATTACTTACCTGCTGATTTACCACTTGTCTTCTTCCCACTGGAATCTTTATGAGAATCTATGCTGGTGGTTATCAAACTATGTTCTCCAGGAGAAAACTGAACTGGTCTTATCCCTGAGCTCTTTTGGAGCTTGGATAAAAGGCTTTAGATACAAGACTGAGGCTTAAAAAGTTGGGAAAAATCCCTTTTCCAGAAGACAGTCCAAATATTTTAAAAGTATAATTCTTAAAAAATGAATCTAACATGAAGAAATAATTCAATTTGTTTTATACCAATTTTATCTTACAGAAGTTTTAATTGGTGTAGAAATATCCTTGAATAAAAGCTACCTTTAGATTCCACATCAAGAGTGGACTGTCTTCCCTAAACAGATTACCCACCTACCTTTCTTTCTCTTAGGTTGCTCTGGTGATGAGGGTCCTGGTGAGTGTGCATATGTCTCTTGAACGTGCTGAGTTTCCATCACTTCAGGAATCCCATCTAGTGTGACGGATACATGGGTGACTGGGGCAACAACAATGTCATCTTCAGAGGAACTAAATATATTATTATCTAATGGGAATAAAACCAACTTTGTATTATAAATCAAAATAATTTCATAAAATATTTCCTATTTCTTTGAAGATTAAAGGAGAAATGAAATCTTGAATCTAGCCCCTGGTTTTTACTTCCTCTGCCCTAAGTCAAGTTCGCTGGATCAGTCCAGGCTTGACTGGACCATTCAATGTCTTCCTGACTTGACTTCCTATCCCCAGTCCATCCTGTCTCTCTTCTGCATTTTTCACATTGCCGCTAAAGTTTTTCTCCAATACCTAAGTCTGATCTGACCATATCATTCTTCTCTATAAAAACTTTACAGAGTGAAAATTAGAAAGAAGAATAAAACTGACATACCTTCTCATTGTTTACAGGTGGAAAAAAGATAAGAACAATCAAACTCCATACCATACCATTTTGAACATCCACAATATGTAACCTATTGTGAAACATTACTTTAATTATACCAAAACATTTGAAGCTTATACCTCTCATTCTTTCACAGATCTATGTCGTTGATTCAGTGGACTCCGTCTGCCTTGAATGCCCTTTCCTGCCTTCTTCTACACATGAAAAGCTTATTTGTCACTAACAGCCCAGGTCAAAACATTCCTTCCAAAAAGTCAGTCACCAGTATTTTCAGCTAGAGAAATCTCTCCTTCCAGAACACTCTGCTATCCCTCTTTTGGCCTTTATTTTTGGCTTTTACAGTTATTTACATAAATAACTATCTTCAAAAGAAAACTGGAAGCTTGAGGAAAGAAACAAAATCTATTCATTTCTATATCATGTTATTGCCTAATGCATTGCTATGCATACAGAAAACCCTCAATAAACGTCTTAAATTGATTTAATAATAATTCATTTTATAAGTCTGACCACTTTCTTGTCAGAAAAGTCCAAAGGAGAACATGGATTTAAAAGCAAATCAATAAATGTGGTAGTAAATTTTATGCCATGAAGTCTTAGAAAACATTTCAATGGATTTTTGCCTATTCACTGATGAATAATGACAGAAATCACTAAATTTTAATTGTTTGGACCCTAAATACACTGATACTTCACCAATGAGGTTAAGAAGATACTCTGCATGATCTCTGTGACACCTAAATTACCTTTTTATTCTCAAAGTCTTCATTCCTCAAATCTAAAAAAAAAAATCCTGTTTGAACACTTTAGTAAAGATACCTCAACCAGTACTGTACCTTAAAATGCACTTAGGATGCTAAAAAAATAAAACGTGACTCTGGTCTCTTGATGTTTATCATCTAAAACAGAGAGACGACAGGAAAAGTTTTTCAAAGCATATAGCCATAGTGCTACTATAGAGCATAGGAAACTATACTCAACATCCTGTGATAAACCACAACAGAAAAGAATATGAAAAAGAATGTACGTATATGTATATGTGTTACTGAGTCACTCTGCTGTACAGCAGAAATAAACACATGATAAATCAACTACACTTTAAAAATTTAAAAAAAGCATAAGAACGTGAACAGACATAACACTCACTCGTGCGCTTTTCATCCAGCATAGGGCCAGGAGAATCCATGTTGAGGAGTGCCTCAGCAGCCTCGATGGTTTCAATTGTTTCATCCCCATTATGACAGGAAGCTTCGACTATAATACATTTAAACAGAAAACAGAATTAGCACAAGACATCTGTTGTTCTAAAAAACACAGGTTTGGGAATTTCCTGGTGGTCCAGGGATGAGGACTCTGCTCTTCCACTGCGGGGGCCCAGGTTCAATCCCCAATTGGGGAACTAAGATCCAGTTCCTCCATGATAGTTAAAACCAGAAAAGATAAATACTTCAAAAAGCCTAGTAAAGTTATTAAAACAGGGCACTGTAACACTTCCTATTAAAAACTTAAGCCTTCTATTTAAAATCTTGTAGATTTACGGCATAGTAGAAAAGCAGATTACTCTTCTGTCAAAGCTCTGGAATTCCATGAATTGAAGGAAATATCCCATTAAAACTAATCTTTTCTAAAAAATCAAGCAAGTAAGGCACAGATAAGTCAATAATCAATTACCATCTTCTAAACATTTATATAACTCTAGCTATTCATTTATATAAGCTTTATAAATATTTTAAAGTTCTGCTAGGTAGATGAAAATGATAAAATTAGTATGTATAACTATTTAATTACATAGCAATTAAGAAAATATTACAAGGAGAATTTCAAATTACTTCTTTGTCAAGCTTTTATAATGAGAAATATCAAACATACACAAAAGTAGAGGAAATCATACAATGAACTGAATGTATCAAGGGCCCAGTTTCAATATTTAAAATCAATTTTCCTTAATCTATACTCCCCAGCTCAAAAGAGACACAAGATTATTTCAAAGTGAACCTCAGACAGCCTGTCATTCATTGTAAATATTATAGTATACAGACAATGCCATGGTCACATCTTTTACAAATTAATTATTCATTAAATCAGATATCCATTTAATAATGAAATTTCTCTGTCTCAGATTTTTTTTTAAAGTTGGCTTGTTCACAACAGATTTCAAACAAATTTCATGCATTACACTTGGTGGCATACACCCTCCTTCCTATTTTTTCTGTTTATCTTAAGAGAAACAGGGTCAATCTGTTTGTAGTTTCCCACATTTTAGATTTTGCTGATTATATCTCTGTGGTGCCACTTACCACAGCCCTCCCCCATGTATTTCCTGTAAACTGGTAGATATTTCTACAAGACTGACTTGATTCACTTTCAGTTTTTCGGCAAGAATACTTGAAGGTGATGCTGTGTGATGCTATGTGCTTTTTGAAAGTAGTTTGTCTTTCTTCAGTACTGCTAGACTGAGAATCAGTTTCAAGTGTTGTCAGCCTGATCCAGTTATCATTAAATTTTCCAACAGCCTTTCATCTAAAGGCTTTAGCAGTTATTGATGACAGTTTGCCTAGATCCAGGAGTTCATTAGGGATTCCAAAACGGTGATAATCATAATCTTATCGTTCCTCTCCCATTTATTAGCTAGAATTCTCTACAAAGAAGAACTTGCTGTCATCAACTATCTGGTTACCCTGAGCCACGGTTTATACAATAAAGGCAAATTAAATGCTTGGGTCTTTTTCTGTTATTCACTAGTTTTCAGAGTAAAACATGGGATCTTTCAAAAGTGACCACTGAGTTTAAAAGATTTTTATTAGTTTCTAGTTTATGTTTCTATGTTTAGATATAAGCAAACACATACATATCATTTTTACTCTCTCCCTTATCTTAAATAATAAATAACTATTCATGCTGTACTGACCCTTGCTTTTTAAACTTCATATACACTACAAATCATTCCACAGCTATATACAGAAATCAAACTACCTTTCGAATTTCAAAAAACATAGAGCAAAGTTAATACCAGTGATCTAATTTGTAAAAGTTTGTTTATTACACTCAGCCTCAGTGCTCAGGGCAGGAAATGTAAAATAAATTGGTGAGTCCTACGTAAAACAGGAATGAAAATCAAAAACGAAGTACAAGTGAGCTTTTAAAAATACAGAGAAAATGTTTTCCCATCATTAAATGGATTATATAAATAATTTATATTTATATTATAATTATTTTATAAGATATAAAATAATTTCTTGTAGGCAACAGTAAAACCCACAAGCTTTTTTTTTCCTTCCAGTTTTACTGAGATATAATTGACATGCAGCATTGTGTGAGTTTACGGTGTACAGCATAAGGATTTGATCATTTCAATCATGAAATGATTATCACAATAAGTTTAGTGAATACCCATCATTTCACATAGATATAAAATTAAGGACACAGAAAAACTTTTCTTGGGATGAGAACTGAAGAAGTACTCTTAATTTTTATACATAACGTGCCTCAGTGTTACTTACATTTATCATATTGTACGTTATATCTCTAGTACTTTTTTTATCTTCTAAATGAACGTGTGTGCCTTTTGACCTTTGTCCAATTCTCATTCCCCTCTCCCCCTACCTCTGATAACCACAAATTTGATCTCATTTTCTGTGAGTCTGTTTACTTGTTTTCAAAGTACACCTGACCTACAACACTGTTACTTCCTCAACATAGTGATTGGGTATTTCTATACATTTCAAAATGATCACTACCATGTCCAGTTATGAAATGTTACCATACTAAGACACACAGTTATTTACTATACTCCCCACACTGTACAAAGTAATACATATATATACACACACACACACACACACACACACATAAAGCTATTCATCACTTAAGTTTAAACGCATTTTAACAACTCTGCATTTGTAAAATTAATTTATTTATTTTAATTGGAGGCTAATTACAATATTGTAGTGGTTTTTGCCATACATTGACATGAATCAGCCACAGACAACCCTGCATTTTTACTCTCCAACTCCATGTTTACTGTTTTTTGACATCATGCTATACATATTTTTGTTCTGTGTATCTCAACTACAATTATTATGGATATAGATGATTTCACCATGCTTGTCTTTTAACCCTTCTACACGGCTAATTTACTCTTTGCCTTCCTTTCATGATTTTCATGTTGCAAGTTGTGGCCTTTTCTTTTTCAGTTAGAAAAGTCCCTGTAACATTTCCTATAAAGTTGCTTTGTGGGTGCAGAACTCTTTTAGCTTTTTTTGCTTGTCTGTAAAACTTGATCTCACCACCAAATGTGAATGAAAACCTTGCTGGGTAGAGTGTTCTTGGTTGTAGATTTTTCCATTTCACCACTTTAAATATAAGGAACCATTCCCTTCTGTTCTGCAGGGTTTCTGCTGAAAAGTCACCCCGTAGCCTTTTCAGGTCCTCTTGATTGTAACTTATTGCTCTGCCCTTGCTGCTTCTAAACTCCTCGTTTTATCTTTAATTTCTGCCACCTTAGTTAAAGTGTGTCTTGGTGTGGTCCTTCTTGGGTCGACCTTGTTTGGGACCCTCTCTGCTTCCTGGACCTGGATGTCTGTGTTCTTTCCCAGATTAGGAAAGCTTTCAGTTATTATGTCTTCAAGTATGTTCTCTGCCCCCTTTCTCTCTCTTCTCCTCTGGGACCCATATAATACAAATACTAGTACACATGATGTTGTCTGAGAGGTCTCTTAAACTGTCTTCATTTCTTTTTACCATTTTTCCTTTTTCCATTCAGCTTCAGTGATTTCCAACACTGTTTCCCAGCTTCCTGATCCAGTCCTCTGTATCATTTAATCTACTGTTGATTCCTTCTAGCACATTTTCATTTCAGTTATTGTATTCTTGCTCTCTGTTTGGTTGGTCTTTACATTTTCTAACTCTGGTAGAAACTTCTAACTTCTTGCTCTATGCATCCGTTCTTCACCAGAGTTCCTTGAACATGTCTACAATCATTACCTTGAGCTCTCTGTACGGTAGATCACCAATCTCCACTTGACTTAGTTGTTCTTCTGGGGTTTCATCTTCATTTAGAAGATTATTTCTCTGTCACCTCACTCCGTCTAACTTGCTCTTTTTATTTCTGTGTATCTGGTAGGCTGGTTACATTTCCCGATCTTGGAGGAGTGGTCTTTCGCAGGAGACCTCCTGTGCCTCCCAGCAGCGCTCTCCGCTCTGGTCACCAGCGCTATGAGCTCTGGGGCGCCCCCAAGTGGACCGTGTGGCTCCTTCTCTTGTGACAGGCTAGCTGTTGAGGGTGAACTGGTAGTTGTGGCTGGTGCAGGGTGGGCTGCCAGGACCAGCCTTGCACAGAAGCTGCCAGAGACCCCAGGTGGTCCCAGGGCTAGTGCTGGCTCACAAATGGGCAGAGTCAGGTTCTAGAGTGGGGAGGTGTGGGGCCTGGGGCCCCAGATCTAGTGTTAACCTGCTAGAGGCAGGGCCAGTTCCTGACACAGCTGGTTGGGGGTCCAGGGTTGTGTGTCCCCTAACTGGTGTTGACCCACTGGTGAATGCGGCTGGATCCCAGGGCAGCTGGACTGATGGGTCTAAAGGGGTCCATCTCCTTTAATAATTTCACTTTCAGATCCTCAAGACTGGTAAAGAAGAAGTTCCACATCGGAGTTCTTAGTCAAATGCTTTTCAAAAAATTTTAACAACACAACCTTGTTTCAAAGGAAATTTTATATAAAACCCCAACATATAAACATATTAAAGTGGTATTTTAACACTGTACATTTCATAGGTTAAAACAGTGTTTATGAACAGGAAAATTTGAAATCAGGGATTATAGATGACAGTGGCCACCTAAGGTAAGTTGCACATCCATAAAAACAGTTTGATCTTTTTATTATTGAAAATTTCAAACAACCAAAATTATGGGACACAGTAAAATGAATTCTCACATACCCATTCTCAGCATCCATCATTATCAGAACATAGTCAATTGTCTTTCATCTCATACATCTTCCACTTACTGCCCAAGGACCCCTTCCCCACACACTGTGACCTTCAGGATTTTTCTGAATGAATCTCTGACAGCATATTTTATCTCTAAGTATTTGAGCATATATATCTGAAAGATAAAGAGTCCAACACAATGCTATTACCATACCTAAAAACGTTAACAACATTCTTTATCATCGGAAGTGCTACCTAGGTCTCATAATTACAGCTTATAAACTGCTCTATCCCATCACCACCAGCCCTGCAGCCTCTTAAAAGCATGGTACTCTCCCCTCCCCCACTCTGGACTAAGCGGGGCTATAATATCCCTTCATTTCTCATGACCTGACTCAGACAAGTATGAAAGAGTTAAACAGAGGCTTGGGTTGGAAGATAAGAAAGATGAGAGAAGAAACACGAAAACAGCAAATCTGTCAAAATATGGCTTATTTTCTGGATCTATTCTATTCTCTAAGAAGGAGGGCACTTGTCTGCATCTCATCATCAGCAGTCTTCAAGTCTAAGCCCAAGAGTGAAGCACTGAAAGGAAGAAATGATTCCTTCTCCTAAAGATACAGGATCTGCTTTCCTAGTCTCTATTTCTCCTCTGAGGGCCAGTATCTTCCTTGGCCGCTAAAACCAGGAATAAACACTGCCTCAGGGAAGACTCTGGTTCCCAACCCACAGAGTGTGTGGCCTCACCCTAATGCATCAAGAAAGTAGATCAGAACACACTGCAAAAACCCCATTAGCTACACCACACATCTATATATGCACAGAGGTGGTCACTCTGTTATACAAAACGCAAGGATCACAGTCAGTGATGAGTAGAAACCTCTAATTTAAGTCATCTAATTCCCTTATTGATAAGAGAAAGACAAGTCTAGATTCATTAAAAACTTCCATTGAGCTGCTCTGAACAAAGATGTGATTATATGAGAATATGCTTTGCAAAATATAAGAGGACAATACAAAACTTAAGTGCTGCTGGTCAATGTTATCAGTGAGGGCGCAGTCACTTGATGTGTGACATTAGGCAAGTCACTGAACTTCTTTAATTTCTTTTTCTGCTGAAAATTAAGTGAGATAACGTACTTTTACAAAGATCTACTATGTTAATATGATACAATAAGAAGTAGACAACGCCATTTTGGTGGTATTCTTGCCCCAAAATGCATTATCACATTCCATCATGAAAAACATCACAGAAATAAAACTGAGGGACATTCTACAATGTCTGACCCAGTACTCCTCAAAAGTGTCAAGGTTATGAGAGACAAAGACAAAGGAACCATCACAGATTGGAAGTGCCTAGGAAAAAATGACTACCAACTAATTGCAGTGTGAGATTCTAGATACACTCCTGGAACAGAAAAAGGGCATTAGTGTGAAATGCGTGGAATACAAATAAAGGCCAGGTTTAGTTGATAATACTGTGAAAAATGTTAATTTCTGGTTTTTAAATTAATAATAAATATTCAAATAATCTTTACTTCCAAATAATTTATTTTCTCAAACACCTCCAACATCTCTGGCCAAGGTACAGGAAAGTTTAAGTGTATAAAAATAAAAACGCATGCACCAGTTTCCAAAACTGATGAGAAAAGCACCACCTCAACACTTACGCAGTGAACTCCTTGGTTTGAAATATCCTACTAGTTCTGACTGAAGAAATCTTGCTGAAGCCGCAGCACCTTCCCCTACATTTGGGTCACGGCCTCCTATTCTGCCTTCCGCAGCAGCAGTAACCAAAGAGCATCCCTATCTCGCCCTACAGGCAGCCTCTCGCCACCAGGAGTGCGGAGCGAGGCGCACAGCGCTCAGTGAAGGCCGGGTGAACGGGCTGGCTGGGCTCCTCTCACACGCCTCCTGCTGTGTCGCGCTCGCCTCCGTCTATTCAGGAAAGAAGGGCAGGTGAGCGGGTACTGTGAACCACAGGCAGACCGGAAGGACACGGCACTTCCTCCTCCCTGCGGGGCTCTAGCTTCTGCCACCAATGACGCTACTCGGAACCGAGTCGGAACGTTCTCCCAGCCCCCGAATCACGGAGAAAGAAAGAAAAGAAAGTGAGCTCGCTCAGTCCTGTCCGACTCTCTGCGACCCCATGGACTGTAGCCCACCAGGCTCCTCCATTCATGGGGTTTTCCAGGCAAGAGTACTGGAGTGGGCTGCTATTTCCTTCTCCAGGGGATCTTCCCGACCCAGGGATCGACCCCTGGTCTCCCACATTGAAGACAGACGCTTTACCGTCTGAGCCACCTGCGAAGAGAGGAGCCGCGCAATGCCTACGATGACGCTGCCGGGGGCGCACAGACCTGTGAGGCTGATGCCGTCCTCATCCTCGTCGATGATCTCCTCCTCGGCGACGTCCAGGGAGCTCTCGGTGATCATGTCGTTGGGCTCCTCCACACAGGCCAGACCTGCGTAGCTGTTGAGAATATCAGCACCAGGAACGTGCTCCACAATGACGGCGGGGAAAATAGCTGGATCACCAAGCTGGGGGGCAAGGGGAAAAAAAGATAGCCAAGTTCTGCTTTGTTAAATACATCCCAGACTGTTCTATGCTGGACAGCGACTTAGTTTTCACAGCGTCAGCTACTTGTATCTTGACAATCCTAGGCTACAGAGTATATAGATCTACTGTGACCAAATAAAACTCTCATTACTCCACTTCAGGTCCAGGCTGCACATAACGCTGAGCAGCTCCCCGTGCTTTGCAGCAGGTCCTTGCTGGCTATCCACTTTAAACACAGCGGAGAACTTCCCCGGTGGCTCCGTTTCGCCCGCCACTGCAGGTGACGTGCGTTTGATCCCTGCTCCAGGCAGATTCCACATGCTGCGGAGCAGCTAAGCCCAGGCATCATAACTACGGAGCCCGTGCGATCTACAGCCTGTGCCCTGCAACAAGAGAAGCCAGAGCGGTGAGGAGCCCGGACACTGCACGGAGAGGAGGCCCCATCTGCCACAACTGGAGAAGCCCCGCAGGCAGCAACGAAGACGCAGTGCAGCGACAAACATGAAAAAAGAAAGGAAGAGAAAGATCCCATGCGCAGTAACTAGGACTCCGTGCAGTCAAATAAATTTTAAAAATAAATAAATAAATATTGCAAAGTGTACATGTCCATCTCTAACTCCCTAACTATCCAATTCTGGGTTTCAATAGCCAAGTTTTCACAAAGAATTTCTATAAAAGTATGTTTTTAAAGTCAACTAAACTAAAAACAAAAACTAGTATCATGAATAATAAGTGGCATATGAATAAGCATACAAATAAATAAAACCTCAACCAAGGTTTCTTGGACAGAAAAAGATCTGTGAGCTTAGTAAATATTACATTGTCACTTGACACACAGGCCGTGTTTAACAACTGCTTTTGATTCAAACAGGAAAATTAACTTTCACTTTCTGTTCAGTCATAAGATCAGGGAATCTGAGAACCGAAAGAGCTCTAGTCCAGCCATTTCCTTTCACAGATGAGGAAACTGACCCGAGATACTTTTTAATGGCCTACTCAAATATCAGTTAGTCACGAAAAAAACTCAACGTTAAAGTGAAAACCAAATGAAAAATGCTTTCTAAGTATTTTGTTGTTGTTAGTCGCTAAGTCGTGCCTGACTCTTGCAACTCCATGGACTGTAGGCTGCCAGGCTGCTTTGTCCTAGCGATTTCCCAGGCAAGAATGCTGGAGTGGGTTGCCACTTCCTTCTCCAGGGGATCTTCCCCACCCAGGGATCAAACCTGCGTCTCCTGCATTGGCAGGTGAATTCTTTACCACTGAGTCATCAGGGAAATCTCTTATCTAAGTATACATGAATCATAATACTACATAATAAGAGCTGTCTGTAAAATAATTACTTCTTAAAGTAAAAAGGCAGACACTTATTAACTTCTTTCATATTGCTCTCCTTGTCATATGGTGAGAGTATTATTCATTATACTTCACATTAATGTTTCTCTGCAAATCATCATCTCCTAAGCCACTAATACATATTAAACAGTCTATTGATTTAAAAAAAATCAATTAGTGATAGACCTCATTAAGTTTCTACCTCTTTTACTTTAAAAATTAAAAAACTTCAGACTTTAAAAAGTTGTAAAAGTAGCACATTCTCTTACAATCTCTTTAAAAGTAGAATTCTCTTACAACCTTCATTCATATTCCTCAAACATTAATACTTCATCACATTTATCATCCTCTTTCTATATTACTCTTTCTATATCTGTAGTTTTTGTGATTTACTTGAAAGTGGAAAACATATTGATCCTTTAACCTTAAACACTTAAGCATATATTTTCTAACTGTATGATCATTATCTTATATAAAGATGGCACAATTATCAAAGTTAGGAAAGTAACCTTGATACAGTACTATTATTTAATCTATAAAATTTACTTAAATTTCTCCAATTGTCTCACTAATGTCTTTAAAAAAAGTTTTTTTAATTGAGATCAAGATCGTAACTTTCATTTGGTAAATATCTTGTTTCTTCATGACAACGTCCCTAATTTAGAACAATTCCTTTCTTCTCCTTTAACCTGGAGCACTTCTTCAGTTTGCCTTTCATGATCTCAACACTCTGGAAGAATAAAGGCCATTTGTTCCATAAAATATCTCCCAAATGGGCTGTGTGTTAGTAACTCAGCAAGAATACCAAAAAAGCAATGCTGTGTCCTTTCAAATACATCTTATCAGGAGGTCCAAAATACCTTTTAGTCTCACTATGAGTGATCTTAACTTTGATCATTCATTTAGTTTGGATGGGGTCTACCAGACTTTTCCACCATTTCTGTATTTCCTTTTATAATTAGTAAATATCTTATGGGAAGACAGCTCATGTAAATATCCTTTCTCTTAAAATATGTAGGGAGAAAATATTATTTATGACTTCATTATAACTTAAGCATCCTCAATCTTTTGAAATTAATATGTTTGTAGCAGTGCACAGAAGTTAAAACACTACTTCGATCATAAGAATTTAATTACCCAAATGAAATATATGATATCATAGATACTAAATACCATCCATGCCTTCAAGAATGCTACGTTCTGAAATTTATAAATAATATTAATACTAAAGCATACGTGGATGGTTTTATTTTCAAATGTTTCTTCCTATTTCAAGAGGAAGTTGGTGAGAAGTAACCAGCTGTCCAAATCCTAAGTTTTTGAAACAGAGGCTCAAACATTACGAAGAAAAACACACAGAGGGAGGCGCTGGAGGGAGTATCACATAAAGGGCCGGCAGTACAGCCACTGCCTTGCACTTCTCTCTTCTGAGAATGAATTGCTGCATAAGCAACCCAACCCAGCAGGGCATGTGCTTATCACAACACTTCTTTTCTTCTATCCTAAGAGGTCAAGGTAAGCTCCTCATCTAACAAGGCTAAGCCCAGAGTGAGTTAATTTTCATGAATTCATTTCATGCCACAACAACTCTACACATCACGTAAGGATATGGCTTACTATTTCTATCTATTGGCAAATGAAGAATTAGACTAAGAAATTTACCCAAGGGGATGTCCCTAGTGGTCCAGCAGTTAAGACTTGAAGCTTTCATGCAGGGGACACAGGTTCAATGCTACATGCCATGCTATGTGGCCAAAAAGTTAAAATATTAAAAAACGAAAATTTACACAAGATCAGCAGTAAGTCAGAGACAGAGGCAGGTCAATGCAATTCACAGAAGCAGCCCTCAAATGAAAGCAATGAATTCCTCTCTACCCACATCTATTTGGCTCCTGAAATTTGGGGAGTGAATATTTAGACTGTGGCTATCAAGAGGGATAGCGCCAAAATTTTTCTGAATCTGTACAGTTTCTAAGTTTCAAATAACCACAGACCCCTGTTACTACTTTCTACCTCATCCCAGTCTCTTATCCTGGAAATGGACTGGAGCTGATGGCTCTCTTCTCCAGATACACAGGTGTCAGGAAGCACCCTGTCATGTATTCCTGTAACCAATACCACTTCCCTGGTGGCTCACATAGTAAAGAACCTGCCCGCAAAGCGGGGAGACCTGGGTTCAGTCCCTGGGTTGGGAAGATCCCCTGGAGGAGGGCATGGCAACCCACTCCGGTACTCTTGCCTGGAGAACCCCATGGACAGAGGAGCCTGGCGGGCTGCAGCCCATGGGGTCGCAGAGTCAGACTGAGCAGCTAGGCACAGCACTCAGGGCCCCTCTCCAGAAGCAACCACTGTAGCCAGTACCTTTGTTCCCTAACAGAGGCAGTCTATGCGTGGCCAAGTATACTCTAATTTGCTTTGAACAAGCATTTCTAGGGCACTTCCAGGTTTTAAGATGTATTTTAAAGGTACGGACATGAAAACTGCCTGTTTACAACATTACATCAGAAGAGATTACTCATTTTTAATGGGCTAAATGGGGGGGAGGGAGGCAGTCATCTATGCACAGTGGTCACATACCTTCTGGCTTTGCTACTGCTATTAGCTAATATTTATTACCACCAGGCATTTTGCTCAATGCGTCACACGGATTACCACCTTATGTCATCATCACAAAAACCCAATGAGAAAGGCACATCAGATGATTTATCTTATACACAGGAAAATGAAGTCTCAAAGAGAAGGAAAACAGTTTACTGTAAGTGGAAGAATCTTAACCTAAAGTTGACTCCAGAGACCAAGTTCTTTACCTTTTCACTATTATAGCCAGTCTGAAACATGATGCTGTTTTGTTCTGGAACTTTTTTTTCCCTTTTACATATTTACTTAGCTCTGTTTAGAAATACAGAATAGGTGAGGAGCTGTGTTTGAGGCATGACTTTCAATGTTATCTTTTTCAGGACTTCTCCGATCCAAATCTACTATAAACTATCTCGAGGGCACAGCCAGCTCCTCCCACTCCCCAGGGACTTCCCAGGATCACTCCCCATTTGGCCATACTGTCTTCTCCTTCTAGATATTGGCTTGTCTCATGAAAAACATAGGCCAATCTTCTCTAGTCCACTGAGATGTATACTCACAGTTGTTCAACTCTTAATTTCTCCAGGGTGCTGTTAATTCATGTACAATAAATAGAGCAACTCTGAGTCTTAGGTAACTAGCCTCAATCTACATACACAAAATAGATCCAGGAAACCCTTCTCAGGTGACTGGAAAGGCACTCCCCCTCTATAACCGTAAAGAGAAGGAAAATACATACTCCAGAAATGCCTGCTGCTGATCTGGGCTCATGGTAAACTCCTGCCTTATGAACTGATTGACTAAAGTCAGTGACTACTAACTGAGTAACTAGGAACTTAGAAGCTTCATAACCACACGCTCTAAAATTCCTTACAGAGCACCCCTGGTGGCTCAGGGGTACAGAATCTGCCTGCCAATGCAGGAGACACAGGTTCGACCCCTGGTCTGGGAGGATCCCACACGCTGCAGAGCAACTAAGCCCCTCACCACAGCTGCTGCAGCGCAGGTGCCCTGGAGCCTGAGCCCCACTGCAAGAGAAGCCCGCACGCTGCGCCTGGAGAGCAGGCCCCAC